TGACATGTAAGTGAAAGTCTTCTGGAGGGTGACTGGGGGAAAGCTTTTGCTTTCTTGCAGACTCAGCTAGCATGGCCCTTCTGGCTTCCCCCCACTTTTTCCTGCCAGAGAGTAGACTTAATTCTTGGAAAAGTGGCAGCCATCTTGGGACCGTGAGGCACAAAGCACGAGGGAAAGCTCAAGAGACTCTAGGAGATGCTGAGCCAAGCCAACAGCTGCCCACCTCAGTACATCTTGCCATGTGTGATAAAGTAGCCCTCTTAATTAAGCCAGTGAGCCGCATTCCTGAGACATTCAATTCAAATGACATCAACACAGGCCCAACATCAAACGGGGGAATGCCAAGCAACACATCACAGGGAGAAGAGTCCATATCCTGGACAAAAAAAAAAACCAAAAAAACCCATCAACTCTTTATTCACGGTTTTTAAAGCACAATCTCTGATGAGTTATTTCCAGCAGTTCATATAGACTCTTCCATTTTGTTTTGTTTTTTTCCCCTTCCCACTTGAATGCTTAGTCAACCAAATGAAATGCAAAGAGAGTATCTAACCAAGACCAACAGTGTATCCACTGGGGGCCATTGCACAAATTCCGTCTTATCTCAAGTTGACTGCATTCACAAGTCTTGGCATTGGAATCCCAACTGGTTTTTCCCTCCATCCTCCAGTCATTATAATGAAGTTATCGGGTTCAAGTGCTTTCAAACCTTCAAGACTGCTCTGGCAGATCCTTGAACGAAGATGGTGGCACAATGGCAGAGCTGCCAGGAGGTGGTGCCATCTTTCAAAAACAAGCATCCTGGTTTCCTCAGCAAGAGATGTAGGAAAAGTCTGAACTCGGCATTAAAACACACACCGGGGATGTCCAGGAATGACGCATCAATGTTTATAAGACTCCAGCCCGTCTCTTGGACTCTAGATCACATTCATTGCATAGAACAGTTTCACGCCCCTGAACCTTTGCCCAAGCTCTTCCCTCCATGGGGGACAAATCATCTCTTCCCAGACCACACCCATCTGGGAAACAACTGTTCATCCTTCAAGACTTCAAACAAGTGTGCCTCCTCTCTGAGAGGCTTTGAACCTTGAACAAATTAAATGAAAGAATGCCAGTAAAGCACAGGACACAGTGTCTGGCACATGGTAAGCACTCAATGAACAGAACTGCAATTGTTTATCTACCTTCTTAAGTACCTGTGTCTTGTTTTATAACTGTAGCCCAACGCCCAGCACAGCACCAAGGACATACAGATAAATATTTGCCAAAAGAAAAGACTGAGACTCTCCCTAACACTCCATCTCAGCCAAACTGGTCTATCCAATGTTCCCCAGGCATGCCTCTTACATCACCCACCCCCATACCTTTGCATATGCTATTTCTCCTTCCCAAGTGCCCTTCCTCTCCTCCTCTTCCACCTAACTAGACCCTCCTAGACCATCTTCAGGTACCCCTGGACTGTAACCCCAGGGGGGCTGGGAGAATCTCCAGGACCCCTCACTCAGGGCTTAGCACACAGTGGGCCCATGAGAGAATGAGCCCATCACCAAATGAGCCAGCAAATGCTGGCCAAGGGTTTGCAGATTCGGGAGAACATTCTCAAGGTTAGCAGAGGCCTGCCACCTGCCCCGTGACAGGGAACCCCCGCAGCTGGTGAATCTGTACCTTTAGTCACGGGAGGGGCCTCTGGGGCAAACTGTGACCTCAGGCCATGGTCCACAACTGAGTCACTGTATTTTATAATCCCTGCATGAGTGCAGACCAAAAGCTCATTTTCTGGGGAAAGGAGGGTACGCCCATCCATGGGTGGGTGAGGGACGAAGCCCGGCACAGGGCTCAGATTTGCCACAAGGATCCAAAGCCCTACTAAGTGTAGCCCTGAAAGCAATATGGGTGGGGGGAGGGCAGCGAGCACTAGCCAGCGAGTCAGAAAGGTGGTCTGCAGTCCTAGCTCTGTCCTGGCTGCTGTGGGACTCTCCCTGAACAAGACACCTCCCCCTGCTGGGCCTCAGCTTCCTCAACAGCAGAAAAACTTCCCAAAAAGATGGGAGGCGCTTCCCTGTTCCATCGAGCAGCTCTTCCAGAGAACGTAGAAGAAAAACAAACGGATAGCAAACAATAAACAATACAATAATAGCAGGTAACATTTAACAGGCAGTTTCTCTTTACCCGGCACTGTGCTAAGTGCTTTATAAACATCATCTCGGCTCGGCTCCAACCTGGGAGAGGTACTTAATGGCTCCGAGCCTCAGTTTTCCCGTCTGTAAAATGGGGATGAAACTAGTTTCCATACCACACAGGAAGCACTGTAAGCTATTAGGCATTATTATTACTATGATTTTAGGGAGGAGGAAAAGAGAGGCCCTGAGTGGTAAACTCACTTGCTCACTGCCTCTATTAAATGCCAGGACCACACCGGTCTGACCTCGTGCTCTGGGTCTGACCAGCCTGTGGGTCAGCCGGGTGTGGGCGGGGCTATGCAAATCAGCAGGGCATCAGCCCTGGCAAGTCCCAGGCATCTTTCAGAGGGCAGCCGTGGCAGGAGAGCTGGTGGCCAACCCTGGGCTGAACAAATACCACATTCTCACCCCCAGGGCCAAGGCTGTCTTGCTCCCTCATGAGCTGATACACGGAGTGCTGCAGGCCCAGAGAGGGGCCAGCAGGGGCTGGTAGCCGGCCAGAGACACAGTCCCACGGCAGAAAGGGCCCAGGTCCAAGGCTGGAAGCAGAGGAGGCCTAGTTTCCAACCCAGCTCCCCCACGTGCTGTGTGGCCATGGGCAAGTGGCTTAATCTCTCTAAGCCTCAGCTTCCCCCTCTACAACATGGGATTCATAGTCCCTCACATGAGGAGTGGAGTGGGGATGGGCAAGTCCTAAGACACAGTCTCAAAAAATGGGTATGAACCTGAACCTAAACTGGAAACCAGCAGCACAAAGCCATCAATTGAGAGCGATAGGAGCAGGAGACCCGGTTTACAGGGGAACCCCCCGCCAAGCCCGTCAGGAAGTACAGCACACAGGTCTGATTGCCTTCCAGAGGAGTAGGGGCAGCCAGCAGGACCAAGGGCTCAGGACCCCAGTCCTCACCCAGACTAAGTCAGGCCTTCTCTCTGGGCCTCAGTTTCCCCTCTTACAATGAGAGAGCTGAAGAAAAGGGAGAAAGGAGGAGGGGGAGGTAGAAGGAAAAGCCATCACTGCAGCCCCAGCATTCACTGAGGATTTCTTCTTCGGAGTGCTGAGCGAGCTCATCTACTCCTCACAGAAATGCTCTTGAGGCCAGATAAGACCATTCTCATCTTACAGAAGCAGCAGAAAAAACTGAGGTTCACTGAGGTCCGTCAAATCACTTGCCCAAGGCCACACAGTGGCAGAGCCAGAACTGGAAGCCACTTCTTCTCAGCCTCCAGAGCCCAACGCTGAGGTCCCCTGGAGTGAGGCTTTTGGAGCCATGGGAAAGGGAGCTGGACACCACCACCCCCTGAGGGCCACTCCTTGGAATTGCAGGTGTGAGTCCTCAAAGCTGGGAAAGGAGGTCTCAGGCCCCCATCCTTCCCACTTGCATCGGAGAAGAGGAAATCAAGCAGGCAGCAACAGGGCAGGGGCCTCGGGGAGCCGCAAGGACGGAGCCAAGGAAGCCCCCTGGGGACTCCAAGGACAAAGGCTCCTCAGTGACAGAGAGTGGAGGAGGCGGAGCCGGGCCACCAGGGAGGATGCCAGCAAGCAGAGACTATAAAAAGACAGGCCTTAAATGCTTTTCTCTCCATAACCTCTGTCTTTGCATACACACACAAAAGTTCAAGTACAATCAGATAAGCTGAGTCGGTGCCGCCAGGGAGGCAATGAGAAAAGAGTAAGGAAGAAATCAGTGGAAAAGAATGTTAAAAAAAAAAAACAGGCAGGTTTCAGATGTGCGCACATCTGTGGCTGGGATCCGAACACCCGAGGAGGCTTTCCGGGGCCGCTCAGCAGACGGCTCGCCGAGGTCTGCATTCCTGCTCTGGCTCCCTGTGGCCCCCCAGCCCTGCCGTCAGCCCCGCTGACTCTGGCATAGACGTTTTCCCATCTAGAACCCTGCCGGGGGTGTCTTCTTCCCCTCCCGCCCCGCCCCGGCCCATGTTGCAGAGGAGCAAACGGAGGTTCAGGGAAGTGAAATTTCTTGCCCATGACCTTAAAGCCAGAAGGGATGGAACCTAGGATTTCAATGCGGGAGGATCCCAGGTCTCCAAGACATGAGACCAGGCACAAATACCCTTGAAATGCACTGAGCTTGCGATACAAATGACCTCGTGAGTAGAACTGCAGTTGCCTCATTAAAGAAATGCCTATCTTAGGTGCCCCACACAGGGCCTGGGGACAAGAATAATAATAATAATGGTAATGATAACTCTCAGGAAAGCGTTTGCTGTACACCCAGGACCATGCTGGACACTTGCCGCATTATCTTCTCTGAGCCCTGCAGCAGCCCTGTGAAGTAGATGCTGTCATTATCCCCATTTCACAGATGAAGAGACTGAGGCCAAACACCTGTCTGCACACAGAGCTAGGGTCTGAGCCCTGGTGATCTGGCTCCAGGACCAGCTTAGTTAAATTAACTCACCGGCACAAAAGAAACAGAAATCAGGTTTCTAGGTAAAGAAACCAAAGTACAAAGAAGTAAGTCACTAAAAGAGACTGAGAGGAGCAGTGTTGGGATTCGAACCCAGAACTTTCAGACCCCAGGGCATGTTCTTATCTGCTCCATGCCAGTCAGCTGGGGTTACCTCTCTGCATTGGGCCGGAAACCCAAGAGGGGCGAAGGCAGAGCCACCAACACCCTCCACGTCGAGAACCACCGTGCAGCCAGTCTGGCAACACCCGATTCCCTGGACATGGCCCCGCCCCCCTCGGCCTCCTTGGGCCCCTGGGCCAGCCTTGACTGTCCACACAACCGCACTCCCAGTGGTGTCTGACGCTCACCAGCCCCACGCAAGTCCCAGTCCGGCTGCGCCGGCATCACTCACCACAAATGGCCCGCTCCTCTTGTCCTTGCAGAAACTGTGGCTCCTCCAGGGGCCCGAGGCTGCGGGGGACCCCTGCCAGAGTGGCTGCTCCTTGTCCGGCAGGGCATCCTCCTTCCCCAGGTCCTGTGGTGGCACCTGAGGCACAGAACACAAGCAGAGGACTTTACTGGAGCTTTCCCATTTATGGGAAGAATATGTCACAGCGAGAGAGTCCATTCTGTGCCTAAAAGGGCAAAAAGAAAATTAAGGCACCAGAAACCCTGCCCCACGGCAATCCACCTTAATGAAGGGGGGTAGTATATGGGGTCTGGGTTCAGGCCAGCCTCAGCCACTTAATAACTGTGTGGCCTCAGGTTAATGCCTTAACCTCTCTGAGCCATTACCACGTGGGGAAAGACCCCTAATAACAGTACTCAGCTTCTAGGCTCAGGGGAGAACCAAGTGAGGAGTAGCGCTTGGAAAGTGTGTGACACTGTGCTGCCACCAGGGGGCGCTGTGCACGAGTCCTGGGCACCTGGCTTGCTTCAGGCTCCTCTCCCCCATGGCTGGTACATGGCGAGCCCTCTATAAGCGCTAGCAAGCCTCATTATTGTCATTGGTAATTTTTGGTGACCTCACGTCAGACACTTCTCCAAGCCTCCAAACACACATGCACAGAAGCACAAATACAGAGAGAAATGATCTAGGAACAGGGCAGTACTAGATACCCTAGTCTGAATTCTGTGGTTTTGTTCCAGCCAGTCATATATAGGGCATACACTCGCAGGCCATAAATATGGGACTCCAGAATTTGTAGTGCACATGTCTCACACTCTCCCTGCACAGATAAGGGAAGGAAGGCCCAGAGAGGGAAGGCATCTGCTTAAGAACACACAGCACAAGTAAAGAGCAAGGCTGGATTCTGGTTCCCTTGCGTCACAGACTCTTTGTTTGATGCCTTACGAGACCCTCTGTGGGCCCTCCTACTCCCCTGGCTGTTCCTTCTCAGCCTCCCCGCATCTCAGAGGGATGTCTACTCATCCAGGGCCAGCCCTAGAGCCTTCTCTTTTCCTGCTCCATCTGACTCCCTCGGGGTTCTCTCATAACACCCCCTTGCTTTAAATAAATCCCATCTGTGCACAGGCAACTTCCGATTTTGTCTATGTTGGGACCCCTGACTGGCAGATCCCACCATTCACTCCACATCTCCCCACACTGCTCACGCTCATCTCAGCCTTCACATGCCCCAAACAGACCTCTCCATTCCTTCCCTTCAAAATTCCAAAATTCCTCCTCCCCTGCCCTGCCCCTCACCCAGCTGTGCTGGCCAAGATCCTCAGGTCGCCCTCCATTCTTTTGCTTCTCTCCACCTCATCAACAAAGCTAAAACTCTGCCTTCGAAACATGCTGCAAACCTCACATCATAAACCAAAATCAACTCAAAATAGATCAAAGCCCTCAATGCCAGAGCGAAAGCTAGAAAACTCTCAGAAGAAAATATAGGTGTAAATGTTCATGACCTTGGATTAGGCAGTGGTTTCTCAGATATGGCATCAAAAGCACAAGTGACCAAAGAAAAATAAATTGGAGCTCATCAAAATGAAAAACTTTTGTGCTTCAAAGGGCACCACGGACAAAGTGAAAAATACCACTCAGAGACTGAGAGGTAATTTCTGCAAATCCTATGTCTGCTAAGGCACTTGTGTCCAGAATATATAAAGAGTAATTACAACTCAATAACAAAAAGAACAATAACCCAATTAAGATTGGACAAAGGATCTGAACAAAGAAGGGATACACATGGAAAGATGGGCCATGGAAAATGCAAGTCAAAACCACAGTGAGATACCTTCATACCCAGGAGGATGGCTAGAATCAAAAAGACAGATAAGTGTTGGCAAAGGATGTAGAGAAATCAGCCCTCATGCACTGCTGGTAGAATGTACAATGGTGCGATTGCCTTGGAAATCAGTGGCTCCCTTATGCTCTGGCCCCAGCCCCCTGTGCCAACTGGTGCTCTTCCAGCATCCACAGGACCAGCTCATCCCCATGATGGCCATCACTCAGGTGGCACCTTTCAGGTCCCCTCCCCAGGAGACCTTCCCCTGACCACCTCTTAGAGTCATCTCCCCATTGCCTCTTCTATCTCCCCAGGACTTAACTACTCTCACTCACTTGGGGTCTGTTTGCCCCCTGGACCGGAGCCATCCACTGGAACATTCTGTGGTTACGGAGATCTTCTTTATCTGGGCTGACAATATACTTGCCATGAGTCACCCGTAGCTTTTGAGCACTTGAATGTGGCTAGTGGGACCAAGGAACTGAATTTTTAATCTTGTTTAACTTTAATTTTCATTTAAAGAGCCACATGTGGCTGGTAGCTGCCTTATTACATGGCATGGCCTGATACCGTGGGCTGGTCCCTCCCAGCAGCCCGGGTGCCTAGAACAGGGCCTGGCACAGGGTTAGCCCATTCATTAAATGTAGTAAATGAGTGGAGGTCTGGAGGTGCTTCTCTCTGATCCCCTCAAACCTCCTTCACATCAGGCCCTGGGCCAGCAGCTTGACCACATATTGCTTCACAATAAATCTCCAATAAACCGTGAAGCAGGCAGGATTCACATTCCACGGATGAAGAAATTTAGGCTCAGAGAGGTCTGGCAAGATGCCCAGAGTCACACAGCTAATAAGTCACGAAGCTACGGCCTGATCCCAGGTCTGCCCAATAGGCAGTCCAGGGCTGTTTCCAGGGAGAAATCAAATCATAAGAGTACAAATGGTTCACCTTCCTAATAAAGAACTCCAACAATTCAAGGAAAAAAGGACCAAGGACGAGGTTCCAAAAGAACAGCGGGCAGAACATAAGCAAGTGGGTGACCGGAAGGAAAAACAGAGCCTCATGCACGTGACAAGAGGCGGGGCGCTCATCAGGGGCATGACATCCCCAAGTGTGGTAATGCACCAGGCTGCTCAAGCAGAGGGGAAACAGGGCCCTGTCATTGCTGGTGAGGATGTGACCAGGTACAGCCCCTCAACACTGGGCACTCGGGCAGGATCCTCCAAAATTACAGCGGTGCTGGGGCGCCTGGGTGGCTCAGTCGACAATCGGCTGCCTTTGGCTCGGGTCATGATCCCAGGGTCCTGGGATCGAGCCCCACATCGGGCTCTCTGCTCGGCAGGAAGCCTGCTTCTCCCTCTCCCACTCCCCCTGCTTGTGTTCCCTCTCTTGCTGTCTCTCTCTCTCTCTCTCTCTCTGTCGAATAAATAAATAAAATCTTTAAAAAAAAAAAATTACAACGATGCTCCCCCTAGACATTCGCCACCCTAAGCCCCTGGAAAACCTGCGCACGTGCGAAATGACGTCGGAACGTGGTTGGTAATTAGCAGAAGATCAGGAATATCACCCATCTCTACCGTACAGCAATCAAGAAGAATGAGGACTCCCTGTAGGCTGAATCCGAAAGCTCTCGAAGACACATTTAGGGATGTGAGCCTACGTGGCTCAGTTGGTTAAGCTGTCTGCCTTTGGCTCAGGTCATGATCCTGGCAGGGTCCTGGAATCGAGCCCCACATCAGGCTCTCCGCTCAGCGGCGAGTCTGCTTCTCCTCTGCCCCTGCTTGTGCTCTCTGTCTTTCAAATAAATAAATAAATAAAATCTTTAAAAAAAAAAAAAAAAGAACTTGTGTTCGTATTTGCTTGCATTTTCAGAAAGAAACTCTATATGAATTTGGACCAGAAAAGAAGCTAAGTGGTCCCGGGATGGGAGGAATACTGAGATGGGCGAGAGAGGGACAAGGGGGTTGATACTCCATTCCTTGAAGTATTTTCGGAGCCTCTTGACAATGTTCTCTCTTTTGAAATTCAAATAAATCAGTTAATTAAATAGAACACTGCAATCCAGCATGGGACAAAGTTTTGATAAATGTTTCTTAAGTGAAAAAGAAAAAGAGAGAAAAGAGGGAGGGAGGGGGGGTCACTTTAAGTACAGTCACAACCCACACGGGGTACGTGGGCAGCACTGGCTGTGAATCAAGAAAGCCTCACCCAGGGGGGAAACGCTTGCACCAAGATGCTCCCTGAAGCCCTGTATGTGACACAAAGACTCAACCAACCCAAATGTCCATCAACAAGTGTCTGGATAAAAAAAGTTTGGGCTCAGTCACTTAACAAAGTATTTTGCAGCCACTGAAAATAATAAAGTAATTATCTACATACTGGTTTGTTTTTGTTTTTTTTTTTACTGTTAAGTTAAAAAAAAGCAAGTTGTAGATTTTTCTGTAGAATACTGCCATGTTTCCATTAAGACAGCATGTGATTTACCTGTATCTGTACCTGGCTGGCCTTCCTTACCTGTGGAGCCACGTGCATTAGGGGCGGGATGATTCTCAGGGGCTGGGGGTTGGGGAGCCCATCTGTGCATGGTAAGATGCTGGAAGGCTGTACCCCAGACTCATCATTTAGGGGAGCTTCTCATTCTAAACTGTGTGCTTACCATAACACGTTCAACTTCACCCAAGTGTGCACTGCTTTTGCAGTAAGGAAAATACAACTACAAACAGAGATGCAACTCTGTGGTGTAGGAAAGCCCCAAAGATCCTGAAAACGAACAGTGGCTGCCTGGGGTTGGCGGGGGGGGCGGTCCACGGATACACTTTCTTATACACTCTCGTAAGGTCTGAATTTTTAACAACCAACATTTTGTACTTCTGTGTGGCTCTTATTTATTTTTTTCAAGATCAGGAACCAAAGCTGGTTGGGCAGGAAAGAAGGGAAACGGGGAGCTGGTCCAAGGCCTCCCAATCCCTCGGTGAGAAAACAGATCCTCTGACAACGAGCACTCCTGGGGCCTGCACATCCCGGGCCGGCATCCAAGGCCGGGCCGGGGGGGCCCCCTCCACGCCGCCCTGACTCTCCCCCTGCCAGAAGGCCCCTGAGCAAGGCGCTGGCTTGCATGGATTAGGTGTCACATTTCCTCGTCTTGCCCTGTCTCTGCTGTGCCCACAATAACAGCCTCGTGGAACCCCTTCTGGGGCAGAGCCTCAGCAGAACCCACGGGCCGGCCCTGCGCTCGCACCCACCGGGCCTGCCCACAGAGCTGCCGGGCAGAAACTTCTGTCTACTCTGGTGAGGGATCTGAGGCCCAGGGAGGCAAAGTCACTGCTTCACACACAGCTGGTGAGCGGCAGAGTGGGGTGTGAACGCGGGACCTGGAAAGCCTTGGGTGACCCTTTGTGTCATGATCTGTATTGGCATCACCCCACTGTTTCATTTCTACCATGTCCCTGTCCAGGTTGGACCCTCTACTTTCTTTTTACAGATGAGGAAACTGAGGCACCAGCCCTCGGAGAAGGGGTTTGCCCTTCATCACTCAGTCTAAGAAGCCGAGGTGGGTTACATCCATATGCAACCAAAGTTTCAACCCCCTGTTAGAGAATGCTCTCTTTGATGGAAAAGAGAGGCAAAAATAAGAATTTGTGTTCATATTTGCTTGTATTTTCAGAAAGAAACTCTATGTGAATTTGCACCAGAAAAGAAGCTGAGTGGTCACAGGATGGGAAGAATGCTGAGAGAGGGACAAGGGGATTGATACTCAGATTTCTTCCCCATCTTCAAGGTTCCTCCTTCACCACCGAGGAGCCTACTTGAAAGCTTGGGTGTCAGGCCAGAGCTGGGTTCAAACACGAGGTTGCCATTTGGTGCTGTGTGACCTGAGACAAGTTACTTAACTTCTCTGAGCCTGGGTTTTTTTCCATCTGTACAAGACGATCACGTCCGCCACTGACATTGTGGGCACCCTGCCCTACCCAACACTCAAGTACATGCCAATGGCAATGGTGTCCTGCTGTGGGAGGAGTTTACTCTCTGCCACTGAGCGTGGCACCAGCCAGGATGGAAGAGTCTGGATGTTGATAGCCCCAGAAATAGCCTCAGGCGAGGGCAGCAGGGAACTGGAAAATAAACACTCCAGGTTCCTTGGCCCTAGGACAGGACAAGTCAGGGGTGATCTATGCCACTTCCCAGAGGTCTCCAGCAAGAAGAAGCCTCAGAGGCCACAGGGGAACGGTTCTCATCAGCCTCCCCCTTCCCTGCCTCACTTCTCCACTGGGATCCTGCCAGGGATCACCTTCTAAAATAACTACCTGCGGGACACCTGGGTGGCTCAGTCCGTTAAGCGTCCGACTCTTGATTTCTGCTCAGGTCATGATCTCAGGGTCGTGAGATCGAGCCCTGTGTCGGGCTCTATGCTCAATAGGAAGTCTGTTTGTCCTTCTGCTCCTCCCCCAGCTCATGCTCTCTCTCTCTCTCTCTCAAATAAATAAATAAATAAATAAAATCTTAAAAAATAAAAACAAAACAACTGCTTGCAAGGGTCCGCTTCTACGGAAACCCAAACCACCACAATCCCACAAAAGAGGGATTGCCATGAGACTCACATAAGATTGCTCCCTCACTCATTCAACAGGTATTCCTTGCATGTTCACAAAATGTCATCCGTGCAGTGTGCGGAATATGAAGGACAGGATAATGAACTGGAAACACATACAGGAATGGACAGTGGGTGCTCGATGAATGATCATCATCATTCTGGGCCAGGGGTTTCAAACTGGCGGCACACGGACTAAAGGGAGCCAGCACGTGTTAAGAACCAGCCGGACCTGAGCAGTAGCTGCCTCCGCCCCCACCCCCCAGGAATGAGCTATTTGCCACAATCCCCACCACTCCCTAGAGTCCCACACCCAGCCTGACTCCATTCATTTACATACCCACCTGGCCCACGTGGGATGGGAGTTTGAGACCCCTGGCCTATGTGTCTAACCCACGTTTTACAAAACCACAACAGCCTTCCTGCTCACCTTTTGACCGTCTCGAGTCCCCGACTCTCGCCAGCAGGGCCCCATTTTGGTCTCCTTGGCCTCAGAACTGTCTCCGGGGAAGCTGGACCTCCCTTTGGGTTGCTCTTGCCTCCTCTCTCTCGCTTCCTGCATGACAGACAGGCCCTCTCGGACTTTGGCAGGGGGCCCCTTCTCCGAATAGGCCCTCTTGACAATCAGCGGTGACCTGCCGCAGTCGTAGGGGTGATCACCCCGCTGGACCACACTGTCCTCCTCTCCTCTCCCAATGGATTTCCTTGGGGTCCCTTTCTTCTGGTCAGTGGGAGAGGATCTAGCCAACACGCTGGCCCCACTGCTCAGATCCTCCCAGGGAGTGGGCTTTGACTCGTCTGGGGAGTTCGGATACTTTGCACTCTGAGGTTTACTAACCAAATCCTTTCTGTCACCCTCAGGGGTTCCCAAAACTTGTCTCCGGGGACCTGCGGGGCCAGAAGAGGCCCCTGGATACTTTTCATTAGGAGCCGAGAGTGGCAGAGCCCACAGAGGAGGGCTGAGTGTGGGGTTCGCGGCTGCCCCCGGGGCATCTGCTGGCCGCCTGCCCAAGCCAGGACTGGAACCGTGGTTTGCTTCGGCAAAACTGGCTTGTTTCCGGAGACCCTCAGCTTCAGACCTCTCCCTCAAACTCCTCCTTCTTGGGTCCGCCCTGCCTTGCCGGCCGGGCCTCTCCAGAGTCGAGCCACTGGGCACTGCGGGCGTACCGACCGCTGACTCCTGGCCCTCCTGCTTCTTGTAGTCTGCCATCAGGGCGTCAATGTCGAGAACGCTGGATCTGTAGCCATCTTTGATTTTCCCCGGGACCCTCGCACTGACCACCTCAGGGTCCCTTCCGATGAGGAGATCACTGGCTTCCGGGTGGCTTTCGGGGGCATTGCTGGGGGGTGCCCTATTCCCACTATCCTTACGATTGTTCTGAAAACCGGTGCCATCTTCTGGTCCCCGGCGGGTCCGTAAAGCATCAGCATCCATGCATCTTTCACTAGAAGGATCCAGAGTCCCGTCCCCAAGAGGTGATGGGTGGCCTGTTGGCTTTGGAGGTTTTGAACAGCTTGCGCTGTGGCGCTCTTTGCCCTTAGCCCAGTTGTTACTGCCCTTGGCCTCCAGTGGCTCTTCATGGTTAAGAGAAACCAAGGTGGATGTTAGAGGATGAGGAGAAGGAGGCGGGACTGTTTTTCTAGAATGTTCCATCAAGTTTTCAGGCCCTGACTTAACAATGCTCTTCGCTTTTTGAGTGTCGGGAATCTGATATGTCACTGCAAAAAATGTCGCCCTGGGTTCCAAAGAGGACCCCTGCTTCACCGCTGGCCGAGTCGGGTCTTGGGAAGCACCTGGGCTCACCTCCTGGGTCTCCGCCCTGTGGTGGGATAGCTCAGGTTTTCTTAAGGCACTGGTGGTGGGGCTCCAATGGTCTGTTCTTCTCTGCTCCACCTTCCAAGAGTTTTCTGGGGCCAGAAAGCTGAATTCGTCAAACTTCACGTCGTGGGGCAATGTCCGCCGCCGCCACCTCTCGAACCTCTGGTCCAGGGGACCCACCTTCCGCATCTTGGCCTCGGGCTCCGGTGCCTGGGCCGGCCGTGGCTCACCCTCACCAGCAGCCACAGCTAGGGGTCCCTTCTGCACCCGCTCTTCTGGATGCAACCGTGCCTGGAAGTCAGACGGCTCGTCCTTACCCCTGGGAGGAAGATCCAGAAGGCACCCCCAGGGGGGACCCCTTTCTCCCACTGAGCTGCAGCCTCCTGACTTATTCCTGGCCTCGTCAGGCCCTTCCTGCAGGGCCTCCCAGACAGCGGCCTGGGTGGCCCTCCCAGGGCTGGCTTGGGGGCCACAGGGCCTGGCTGAGCGCTCGCTGTTGACCTCGGGACCCAGTTCTGAGCCTTTCTCTTCATTGGCCACCACGGTGACTTTATGCCAGTTCACAGTCACCCCACCTGTCCATTTGGGTGATAGGCAATTGCCCCCAAACGTGTCCTTCGGCTCTCGGAAGTCCGGCTTTGGCCCACTGACGTCATGAGTCCCTCGAGCTTCCCAAATCAAACTGGCCCTTTGGACAGACCCCGCCTGACCTCCCAGCCTGCACTCTGGGTCAGTAGGGGTGACCTCGTGGGACTGCTGCCTCCCCTTCGGTGAGACCTGAGACCTGCCACTTCGCAGGGTCACGGCTTTTTCCTCCAACGCCGTGGAGACAGCCTCACTGTGCACACGCTTGCCCACCGTGTGCACGATGTCATACTTGGGCTCGACCCTCTGGGATGGGGGAGGATTTTCAGAGCGTTGGAGGAAGGGGTTTTTATGGCGTTTATCATCCAAAGGGTGTTCTTCCGGGAAGGGCACGTGATACTGTCTGGGTTCACCATTCGAAAGGGTGGTCTGTCCCCATTTCTCTGTATTGGTATTTTCAACCCATCTGGAGTTCTGTTTCATGAGGTTTGTGTTTTCCGGCAGGTCCTTCCCCAGCCAAGAGCTTCTCTCACGCCTGGGTCTGACTTCTGAGACATGGGCATCTGCCACACCTCTGCGGGGCATGGCCGAGGGACAGTGTCGTGACTGGTCAGCCACTGTGTGTCGCTCCACGTGATGCTCAAACACTGTGGCCCACACGGTCTGGAAGCTTCCATCATCTTCTGGAGTGCTGTCAGAAGGGCTCAGAGCCCCCACCGAGCTTTTACCCCGACAGTTGCTGGGGACTTGGTTAGAACTGTCTTTCCACTCTGTCTGCCTAGACTTCTCCCGGAGTGAACCAGGCTTCCAGGGGCTTCTTGGGAGGGATGCTCCATCCACACCATGCCCTTCCTTTTGCTGAAAAAAAAAAAAAAAGAGAAACAATCCAACTTAAGTTAAGGGACTTGAAAGAGAAAGGAAGCAGTGAGATGATCAAAACGGCTGCTTTTAAAATCACAACTGTGAGATACCATAAAATTCCAAAGACTGAACACACCCAGTGTGGGTGAGGATGTGGGAAAATGGACACTCTTGGATACTGTTGGCAAGGACAGAAATGGGTACGACTTTTGGACGGTTCAGTATACGTGTCATGATCTTAAAATACTCATTTCCTTTTAATCTGGCCAATTTCCTCCCAAGACTCTTTCTTGGCCCAGATGCCCAAGTCTGGCTAAACAAGAGCGCTCGGGGAGCACTGCTAAGAGAGAGAGCAAACGACACAGAAACAAACCTAAATGCCCAGCTGTAGGGCTCGGGCTAAATGAGCTCCGACATAATCCAGACAATGGAATGCCACACGGTGCCTGGATCCTGAAGGGGGGTGGCTCCTAATGTCACATCTGACAACACACAAAACACTGTGGTGTGGGTGGGAGAAAAGCAGACTGTGGAACAGTGTATTTATAAAACAATACCGTTTCTAAACAACTGTGTGTGTACATGTATACACGTGTAGATAAACAGCAGAGAAAAGACAGAAATCAAACTGTGAGTAAGGGAGTGGAAAGGGGACGAAGGCATGAGGAGGAGAACATCGTTTTTCCTCTTGCGCACTCAGTTCTGTTCGATTTCATAATATGCGTGCATTCCTTAGTCATTTCTTGGTCTAGAAAGAAGTCTACTTCAACAAGGTAAAGAATTAACCATCTAACCCAGCAATCCCATTCCTGGGGAGATACCCAAAAGAAGTGAAAACAGGGGTTCAAATAAAGACTTGCACACCGATGTCTACTGAAGTATGACGTACAATCACCAAAAGGTGGAAACCACCCAAATGTCCACCAGAAGAAGAACAGATACCCAAATTGTGGTCTCTCCGTACAATGGGATAGTATGCAGGCATAAAAAGGAACAAAGTACTGATTTATGCTCCAATGGATGAACCTTCAAAGTTATGTTAACTGAAAGAAGCCAGACACAAAGGGATAGGTGTTTTGTGATTCCATTTATATGGAATGTCCAGAATAGGCAAGTCTGTAGGGACAGAAAGTAGGCTCGTGGTTGCCAGAGGCCACAGGTGGGAGACGGGAAGTGAATGGCTGGCTCAGTCAGCAAAGCGTGCGACTCTCGATCTCCAGGTCATGAGTTCGAGCCCCATGCTGGGTGCAGAGATTACTTAAATTGAAAAAATAAAAATATTTAAAAAATTTAAAAAAATTAAGAAAAAATAAAAATAAATAAATTCTGGAACTAGATGGTGGTGGTGGTGGTGGTAGTACAACACTGAGAATAAACTTCATGTCACTAAATTATTCACTTTAAAATGGTTAGGATGGGGGCGCCTGGGTGGCTCGGTCAGTTGAGCGTCCGACTCTTGATTTCGGCTCAGGTCATGATCTCAGGGTCCTGGGATCGAGCCCCGTTCAGCGGGGAGTTTGCTTGTCTCCCTCTCCCTCTGTCCCTTCCCCACCTCGTGCTCGTTCTCTCTCTCTCAAATAAATAAATCTTAAAAAAAATAAAATTAAAATGGTTAAGATACATACAGGGTCACAGTTTGCTAATCTCTACTGCAGATGATGGAATGCCATTAAAGAGCTGAAAATATATTTTCATTTAAAGTTTTTGTTTACATTTGATTACATAAACTTTGCATAAATAATATATGAATCCATTCCTTCTAAACAATACAAAGCTCAAGTCCTTTCTGAGACTTCAAATATCCAAATACCAGGGCCCTTCCTGGATAACAGCTGTTATCAATGGGGAGCAGTATATCCGTGAAGAATTTTCCAGAACTTTCTCCTAGTATGTGTGTATGTGTGTATTTTTATATATGTGTGTATACATATGTATAAAGACTGTTTTTAAATTTAAAAATATATGCATTGTTCTTTAAAAAATGAAAATTGTATATTTTATGTTATGCCTCTTTTACTACAATAAAAAAATTACCGAAAGAAAAATCTATTTACAGAGATCAAATCTCTGTATTAAATAAAGCAAGGTTTCCTTTATTAACTTTCATTTCTTGAAAGTTTTCTCACACATACAAAATTATAGAGAAGATAATAAATTCACCCCAACCCATTCCCTCAATTCAAGGACAACCAGCATTTTGTCCCACTTGCTTCACAGGGTCCTTTTTGTTCCTGTTCTTACCACTATACCATTTTAATGTGAATATAAGAGGCTTTACTTCAACCGGACCCTCTCTCAACGGCTTTCAAAGAAGTGACTCAGAACATCCAAGGATAAAAAGCAGGGCAAACCCCCGCCCCCAGGAGTGGTGGCACTGCCCTTCAGATCCAGCTCCCAGGATACAAACGCGCTTGCCACCAAGCTCTGGTGTTTACAAGTCCGCATAAGTATCTTAAAAAGTGAAACCTTCACCTACCACACTACCCAGCCATTCCTAGGCATTTACCAAAGAGAAGAGGCAATAGATATCCCTACAAAGCCTTGCCCACAAATGTTCAGAGCTCTTTTACGTGCAATAGCTCCAAAATGGGAAACAACCCAAATGTCCATCAACAGGGCAAAGAGATAAACAAATCACGGTCTACCCACACAATGGAATGCTACTCAGCGACAAGGAGGAATAAACTATTGATACACATGCATATACAACATGACACAACTCAAAGTAATTATTCTGAGTGAAAGATGAGAGATCCAAGAAAAAAAAAAAAGCTCTGGTTGCATTTATAGAAAAATCTAGAAAAAAATCTAGAAAATGCAAACTGATCCATAGGAACAGAAAGCGGATTGGTGGCTGTTTGGGGGTAGGAGGAGGGGCCAGGAGTGGTTACAAAAGAAGAAACTTGCAGGTGCTGGAGATGTTCTGTATCTTGATGGTGATACATTTTCACCGAGTGCAACATGTATATGTCAAAACTCATCCATGCACACTCGAAATGGGTACAGTTTCCTGTACATCAATTATACCTCAAAAAAAGCTGCTTTAAAAAAATTAAAACCCTGCATGAGGCATCAACCACAAATGGGTTAGACCTAGTAGTTATTTTATGAGCTTCTCCTTATTAAGTAAGATTAAATAAAAATACTTTTAAGCAATTCAGTTGCTGGTAGTTTCCCTCTTTCCGCTACTGCTAGGTGACAAGCCAAGGTAGGGAAGGGAACAGGGACCATACTGAGGGAAACTGAAGGAGTTTCTATGAACAGTTCTAACCTAAATTTTAATTTCTTAATAAAGCAGGCATTCGTACGTAAGAAAGCCAGGTCCCTCTTGCTCTTTGCACAGGAAAAAAAACTAAAACCTGGCAATTACATCTGTAAACAATATTTAACACTAAGGAGTGCAGAATCACAAACCCAAAAGGGACTTGAAAAGTCCCAGCATTAAAGAAAAAAAAAATGTTTCATTCTTCATGAGAGGCTTCGGATTCTTTCCCGGGCTCTTTTTCCAGTAAGGGAAGCTACCCACTGGAAAACAAGATGTGCCAAACCCGGGGGGCTCTTTACCTTTTCTCCAGGTTCCTTAGGAAGCTCGCCACTTAGCTCAGAACACTTCTCATACTTGACTTCACTGCTAGACGCTGGACTCGAAAACCTGGTACAGAGATCCACGTTACTTGTTTGGGGCCAGAATCTGTGACTCCCTCCAGCCCACACCCTGTAACTAGCTCAGGAACCCAGGGGTGAGATTAGCATTGAGATCAACAAAGCAACACCGCCTGGTTTGCTTTGAGAAAAGATGCGTCCTTTCAGTTCACCAAACCCAGAAGGGCCCGGTGGGGGACGGCTTACCTTAAACACAGCATCGTTGGGGTACCAGGAGCCCCAGGCTTGGGTGAAGGGACCTGGGTCCTAGTTCTGCCTATTCTGTCTCCCCACTGCAGGAGCTTGGGCTGTGCTTGTGACCTCACGTGAGCCTCTCTCTTCATCTATAAAACGGGGATAATTAACACCTCCCCATTGTCTTTTGTACAAAGGGCAGATAAGAGGCTACCCAAGGCCCTAATAGCTATGTGAGGGCGTTGAGGGAAGAGTAAAGATGCCCCAGGAGGGATAATCAATGGTTGTTGTTAGCAATCCCAGGCACAACAGAAGCCCCACCACAGACCTGCCACGGGACTCAAGGGTGGTGGGTCGTCATGGAATGTGTGGGGGCACAGCAACGGGCCTGTCGCTGCCTCTCTGGATAAGCTTGGCCAAGTCATGGTCCCTCCCTGGGCCTCAGTTTCCCCACTGGTCAAGGGGAAGAGAAAGAAAGGGTATTCTGGTGCTAGAATGTTCCCATCTCTGAAGAGCTCCCTGGAGCGGATGTCTAATGATGAATTCGGGGCTGGGGGCTGCAGAGACAAGGGAGGGGAGAGAAATAAACCACTTCACCTGGTCCCACTCTACAGTCCTCCAGGGTCTGCCTCCCAGGAGGCATGAGGCCGTGGGTGTTATTCCCACACTCAAGCCTCAGTTTCCCCATCTGTCAGATGAGAATAATCCGAGGCACTGGGAGGACACGGGAAAAGGTGTGTGAGGTCCCTGGGATGGGCGCCTCTTTCTCTGTTATCTTAACTCAGGCCTGGCTGCACAGGACAATCACTTGGGAAGCTTTTGCAGACAACCAAGATATGAGCGTCCTCCCCAGACCAATGGAATCAGAATCTCGAGTTGGGGGGGCGGGGGGGGGAGGGTGCACCAGGCCTCAGGATTTTTTTCCAGATGATTCTCTCTCTGCTGAGAGCCACTGGTCTGATCCTGGCCCAGCTGGCTGCCCTGGTTCCCAGGGCCCAGAGGTGACCCCTGGAAGCTCCGACCTGACAAAGGTATGTCGCGTGGCATGTGTATCATTAAGGAGCTGGTGGCCACACCCAGCGGCATCTCCCTGTTGAAGCCGGGAAGCCACTTGTGGGAAAGCAAAAGAGCAGGAGATAGCAGAGGCCGGGGGAGCTTAGAAAATCCTCAACTAACAGGATCCATGGTGTCATTTGGAGCTACCACGTAGTGATGGCTTCCCATGGGCAGAGTGAGTCACAGCGTTATCTGTGAGCTTTTGCCTTAATCCTTCAAGGAAGGTTTCCGTTTTAAAGACAAAGAAACCAAGGCTCAAAAGGGGAAGGGACTTGCTCAAGCTATCTTGACCCATTTGATTTTACTTGGGGGCCACACATGGAGGCTCAGGCCATAGAGTAACGTCCTCAGGGCTTCTGGAAAGGCAAGCTGAGCCAGGGACCCAGGCCGTGCTGGAGTTCCATGGGGCTCCGGTCTTCCTCACGGTACTTCACCTCTCCTATCCGCCTCTGTGAAATGGGCACGATACCTCCCACTGCAAAGTGTAAAGAGGAGAAAGGGCAAGGAAATGGAGCTGATGGCACACACTGAATCTGGAGGGGGGCTGTGTTACCTCTCTGCACCTCGGCTCTTTGTCTGAGAAATGGAAGCTAAGGCCACCTCCTCTTAGAGGCTGTGGGTAAATCCAGAGGGGGCACTGTAAGGTGCCTAGCGTGGAGCCTGGCACCCGGTTCCCTTTCCCGAGGGGCCTCTGGTAGGCGGTCTGAGGCAGCTCAGGGCTGAGTGAAGTCCGTAGAATGTTCCCACTTACAGTTTAGTCAGATCCGCCGACAACGGCCGTGCCTGGAAAGTCTTCCTCCTGATCTCCGGCTTTGCCTCCGAGCTCTCGGCAGCCCAGCCTTTGATCCGCTCCTGGACACTCACACCCACTTTCTCGGGCTCTGGGGCAGCTGACGGGGGCTCAGGGGTGGCCGGTGGGGGTCCGGATTCTGCTGCCAAGGCCAAGGTGCTCTCCTCCCCGAACAGGCTGATGCGCTTCTTGACGCTGCCCCTGGGGGCCCATCCTCCCTCCAGCCGGCTTTCCCCATCAGTTGCTCTGCTCTTGACCTCAGCAAATTCTTGGTCTTTCCCCGGTCTGGGCAAGGGGGACGGGGGCACCCTCTCCAGCTCCCTGAGCAGCTTGGCTTTCTCTTCTCCGGGATGCTGGTCATCCGTGGGGGTGCCCCTGGCTGAGCCCCCTGCAGTTCTGAGGCTGTCTGTCTCTGCCTGCTTGAAAAGCACCTTCTCCTTCTGTTCTCGGGTCTTCTTGGCTACCTCCAGGAAATCCGAGTCTGAGTCACGAAGGCGAGGGTTTGCTCTGACCCAACACTCCATGTCCACTTTGGGCTCTGGGTCGGCCCTCTCCGGGCCCCGACATTGGACAGTGGACCCTGTGGTGGCCTCGTCGGCCACCTTCTTCAGCAAGGCCTCTTTGCTCTCAAACCGGGCCGTGAGGTCCATGGACAGAGGCCTGGGCCTCCTCACCCATGTCTTCTCAGGTGGGGTTGGGGGCGCCTTCCCCGCCGCGGCCACCCCGCCAGGGCCTGGCTTCTGAGGCTGAATGGAGTCGATGAAAATGGCCGACACAGGCCTTCTCCTCAGGCGAGGCTTGGGCTCCAGAGCGGGGTCCCCTGTGTCCTCCACACTCCTGGCCTTCCACAGAGTCTCATTTGGGCCTGTCTCCTCTTGGGGGGCAGCTGGCTTGATGTCCTGTGACAGGGAGGCCGGTCGGGGAAGGGTCCCAGGCTTTCGGGAAGGCAGGGCAGGCTTGACAGCCATCTCGGGCCGGGAGCCCAGAGCGGGCTCCTGACACACACCCGTGGTGGCCTCCCGAGCCCCCTCACTGATCCCCTTTCCCAGAGCGGGGCCAGCTTTGGTGGTTTCAAAGACAATCAGGGTGCTGGATCGGGGCCGCGGGAAGGTGGCCTTGTTGAACAGAGACGAGCTTCTCCTCAGGCCCTCCCCGTTCCCCACCTCCTGCCCCACCAAGCCAGGCATCTTCTCGCTCAGGTCCTTTGCCACCACGTCCTGGGAGCGCCCACAGGGAGGAGACGGGCTAGTTGGGCCGGGCCCCAAGGATGGGACAAGGGATTTCACATCCGGGGCCGTCTCCCTGCAGAAGGGCTTGGGGGCAAGTCTGGGCAGCGGCAGTAAGCGGGCCGGGCTCCTAAGGGGGCTTTTTCCTTCCAAGAGCAGCGCTGAGGGTGCCCCGGGGGTGTCGCCAGCCTGGCAGAAGTAGGTCCGCTTCAGGGTCTCCTCCTTGGAGATCTCGCCGAGGCCTGGCACTCCTGTCAGGGAAGTTATGGAACCGACCTCGACCCGAGTCGCCATTGCTACAGCTGTGGATCCATGGGGATTAAGAACATCCAAACTAGGGAAGCAACCACTAAAAGGAAAAAAGCAAAGGAGAGGAAAAAAATAAATTTAAATCTCAGTGTTTGAGTCTAAGCAAAGCGTTTTGGGGGAATGGGCCCAGGAGGCTGGAGCCCTGGATGCTGGATGACCACTCTCCACTGACCTCACTGGGGAAGCCCGGGGTCAGCCTCTCCACCTCTCTGAACTCCAGGCCATCTCAGAAGTTTGTTCCAGCCCCAACGGTCGGGAAAGGGTGGCGACATTCTCTAGGACCTTCCCCACTCAGCTAGTCTCAAGGCCAGCTCTTAGTAAAAAGGGATTATCTTTGCTATACAGAGAAGGAAACCAGCTCAGAGAGGCCAAGGAACGGCCTGATGTCACTTAGAGAGTAAGGGGCAAAGTCGGGATTCGAATCCAGGTGGGACTCCAAACGCACACCACACACTCCCAGCAGAGGCCCCGGGGAGAACACCCTCACTTCCCCTCACTCTCGTTACCCCCAAGTCATTTCCCATTTCGGAGCCTGCCCACATCAGGCATCTCCGCTGACCCTCCTCACAACCCTGTACTGAGCACCAAGCACAGGGAGGGTAGGGGACCAGGCCCAGCACACACAGCTGTACCAAGAGCTGGAGTCCCTGAGGTCACAAAGTCGGTTAGTGGTCCCCAGCCCCACTGGACTGTCCCTTATCTCCATTCTCCCACAAACACCCTTCCAGATGCCTTTGAACAAAAAGCTTTTTTTTTTTTTTTTTCTCACTCCACCTGCTGTTTTTCTTGGTTTGCCTTTGGGTTCTTTTCTGTTGAACACCTATTCCGTGCTGGCTGCCTTCAGAGCCTCCGTAAGAAGAGTAACAGCTAACCATGAGGGCTCACCAGGAGCGGGGCCTCGAAGTAAGCCAGGCGCTTCATATGTTTTATAAATCACATCCTCTTTATAACCCTACGAGGTGGGTGTGATGATCATCAGACCGCATTTTACAGCGGCTCCGGCGTCAGCCCCTTGCTCATCCAGCTAGGAGCTCTGTCCTCTCTTATAAATCCCGCACAACCCTGAGAAGCAGGGGTCATCACTATCATTATGAGGATGAAGAGTAAGGGACCAGAGAGGTCACCCGACTTGCCAACATCACACAGCTGAAACTCCACCTCATGTCCTCACCCCACTCAACCAGGCCTTCTTGAACATCACACCGTATTCTTTCTGGTCTGAAAAAGTGCCAGACAAGTCGCTGTTCTTGATCCTCCCCCCCCCCCGTCACCAGCCTGCCCCCACTTTCATGCCCATGTTCCCTGTCCCTGCAAAAGCTGCCCCCAGCCTGCCCCCATCTCGATGGACTAAAAGTAGAAGGTATTTCAGTTAAACGCGAGCCTCCTGCTTCCCTTCCTGGGGCCCCACTCTGCTGCCCCCAGCTCTGACTCACTCAGCAGCCTGCAGGAAAGAAAGGCAGACAGATTTTGATATTTTCTCTTCCTTACACGCTCGATGGTGCTAACAGATTTCTTCTCCCCAAAACCAGAGAACGCTGTCTAGACAGCGTTAGAGGCAACAGAGAGGGAGAGATACGGAGAATCGGAGAATGGCAGAGTTATAAGGCATATCGGGGTCCTGCCCCAAATCAGGACCATTCCCCTTTAGAGCCAGTCCCCATGACCTCTTGGAAACCCTGCCCTGGGATCCACACACACGCACATGTAGCCCGGACATGAGACACAGGGCAATAACGAGATTCAAAAGGCAGAGAGAAAATTCCCTGGCAGAACCCGCAGCCGCCCTCCACCTCCTGGACACTCCAGGCCCACTTACCTGGGCTGGCCGGCCCTGGCTGGAGATGCGTGCCTGCCTGACAAAGCCAACGGTGTCCCGTCTCATGGCGAACGGGGCTGGTTGCACCCTCCCATGGCAGAAGCGGGTGGGGGAAGGGAGGCTCGCCCCTCCCCCACCCCCACCCCGGGACTGTTTCAGCAGGTCTGGGAGACACAGGACCACAGCCTCAGTTCCGGAAGTATGTGCACAGACAGCACAAAAGCTTTGGAGTTCCAACTGCATCCGTTAGCATCATCTCCAGCTTGGAAAACGCACACTCCTTGCGGCTTCTCAATATTATAGCAGAAAGAGGGCTGAGTCCACGCTGGGTGCTCAATAAAAATCTCCCCCGTTCCTCTGCTACATGTTTACTGAGCACCTACCACGTGCACAAAGATGAACAAGAAAAATCCCGAGAGCAGGGAACTCGCCGTCTTGTGTAAGAAACACACACACACACACACACACACGCACACCGAAGCAATTACAACTCTGGGTAATAAACACCATGGTATATAGAGGGGGATGTGGGGGCACAGGAATAGTATTCACTGCTTAGGATTGGGAATGGTGATCCCAGAAAACTCCCTAGGCTGAGAAGTGATGCCAGAGAACTCCGGTGCTGGCTAATTTGGGAGCTGTTTCTCCTGGCTCAGAAGAAGTATTTGAACATTGCATCTGTTGGAGGTCCTGAAACGCCGCCTCAGGGCCTTTGCACATGCTGTGCCTGTTTCCAGGATACCCTTCTCACTCATACATAGACACAGGCCCAGCCCTCAGAACACAGCTCCAACATCTCTGCCCCTACCAATACACACACACACACATACACACACACAACCTGGTACAATCTTCATTTTACATGTCCATGGAGCACCAGACATCTCAGCAGGACTCATCATAGTTACACGGTTGTATTGAATGCTGCGTGAGCTTTCAGTCTTTCCCATCCAATGGGAAGCCCCCAGAGGGCACCCTGAGTCCCCAGAAGTGAGCACGGCGGCCTGGCCTGTTGTAGCTCTGAATACATCGTTGTTGAGTATATACATAAAATAACGGTTGGTGGAATGAAGAAATAGGTGAATTAAGAGATCTTCTTCTGCTCCCCAGGCTCCTAAGGTTCTGAATAAGGACAGGTACCACGAGTTTCATGACACGAAGCAATCGAGGACACAGGAGGAGTTACTCTGGCTCTGGCAAGCTGGGTAGTGGCCATTGGTCAGTTGCTACTGGATGACAGAACCCAAGAGCTGGGAAGAGCTCAGCTGGGAGCTCAACCTGCCTACCTCACCAAGAGCACCCCACCCCCCCCAGTGTCTCTGGACCACAGGGAGGTGCTCTCCTGCCCCGGATAGGCCCCTGTCAGAGACACCTGCTGTGATCACATGAACCCCACACCGTCCTGCCCCGTCGCCCGCTCCTCTGCCCAAGCGTGGAATGAACGTTTCTCTGCACAGCTTGTCCCAGGAAGGAAGTCATCCAGAGCAACCACTGGCAAATTAGGATCGACAGTGCACGCATGTCACCCTACTCTGGGATCCTTGATCCCAGCTCACTAGCCACCCCGCAGGGAAGTAAAAGGGGAAAGAAGACTCTTGGTCCGTACCCCCTCTTAACCGTACCCCCTCTCAACCGGAACAGTGGCTCTGTTATCTGGAATCTGCATCACATCTTGGGCTTCCTCTCGAGTTTCCATTTAAAATGCCTGGCAAACACCTGGTATGTAAATATGGCTGCACCAACGAATCCACGAATTAATGAATCCATCAGTGAACAAAGGCGGGGGAAAGAGACGGGTTTGGTTTTTTTGTTTTTGGGGGGGTTTTTTTTTGAACCCCTGCAATCAACAGCTAAATAACATTCTGAAGTCTCTCCCAAACCTAGAAACACAGGACTCTCAGGGGTTCACTTAACCTGTTGTAAAAAACACAAGGAAACTGATTGAAATGTGCGCTTTAAAACCTTACTTTAAATGCATCATATATGTCATGCTTAATTTAAGACATGTCGGTCTCTCTTCCAAAACACTTCAGAAGCTCGCTCACGCAGAGGCCAGCTGCTATGCCTTGTGTGGCCTCGCTTGCTCTTTGTAAATGTATGAGCACTACAGCCAGAGCCAAGCAAACAAGAGCTCCCTGAAGAAGGAAGGGGCGCAGAGTGCGAGCCACCTCTCTGGTCGTATCTGTATGAATCACCATGGGGGCGGGGGGCGGCATGGGGGACAGACAGGAAGCAGGGCTGATCTGGGAGGTCAGGGGGCCAGGGTGGCCCAGGGGGCCACGGAGGACCCCAGTCTGATCTCCAGTAATGGGGCCAGCAATGGGTACATCCCTGTCGCTGAACCTGCCACATCTACAGGCTGGATCTCCCTAGGTGGACCTGCAAAGCCTGAAATGCCCATTTCCTGCAACTTTATGCCAAGAAGCCCATTTTCCTGAGAACTGAGGCACTAGGGCCCAGAGTGGCTGAAATTCGGCAGGAGTCATTCATCAGAGCATCTGTCCGTCCATCTAGCCTTCTGACTCCCCTGCACACCAGGCTCTGGGCTCGGTGCTGGGAGGGGGAGGGGGGTGCAGCCATGTCGCTCACAGCCTCCTCCCCCGGACCGAACCGCACGGGGAGAAGGCAGGAGAAGCACCTCCATTCAAAACCAAACAGTTTGGCAGCTTTTCTCTCAGATTCACAGGCGTTGATTCGGTCTAACAGCTGCTGCAGATCTTTCGTAATTACACCCTTAAATCCGATCTGGGAGCTCACCAGCCATTCACTCAGCCGTCTCTGGGTGCCGCTTCCCGGGAATGCCACCATCTGCTGAGGGGTGCGAGCCAGTCCTCACGCCTTCCGGTGTCTTCCGGAATGCGACCTGGCCTCCCGAACCTGCAAAGCCACCCTGCGTGGTGCACCGTGCCAGGAGCCAAGGGCATGCCCGTGGCCTCCCTGGAGGGCAGGGCCCCCCCTGGCAGGGGCCCGATGGCTAATGGCACTGGAGTGAAGGTGTCCTCTCCTCTCTACCCCCATGGCGACAGCCCTAGCTCGGTCGCTCGTTCATTCACCCGTTCATTCACGCCAATACGCAATTGTGGAGCACCTACCATGTACCAGGCTCTGGGCCAGGCGCTGGGGACACAGCAGTGAAGAAAACATGTGGCAATGTCCCCTGCCCCGCCCC